TACTATATATTTAAATTTATAATTTTATTAATAAATATTTTTATATTAAAAATAAAGTTTATAATTATATTTTATTATATATTTTTTTAGGTTTTAGATTTTTCTGAAAAGTAATTTTAATTATAAAGTTATTGTAAAATTTTACAATTAAAAAAATATATATTATATTATAAATTATAATTATAATATAAAAGAAAATTTAATGTTTATATATTTATTAATAAATTTAAGATTTTATTAAATTTCTTTGCAAGATGCTATATAATAATACTTAATATAAAACAGTTATTATTTTAAATTATTTAAATATTTTCTAATATAAATACTAATACTACTGTAATTTTAAAATATATAATAATAGTCAAAAGATTTGAATTTTTTACTATATATAATTACAATTAGTAAAAAACTAGGTATTTCATTTTTTAATTATTACTATATTTTTAAATATATTTATTTTGAAATTTATTTTTAAAAAATTATAATAACTACAATATTAATCAATAAAATAACTCTAGTATAAAAATTAATTAATTTTGAATATTTTATTTACAAAACTGTTTATTAATGTAAATATTTCCGATTGTAATATTATTCACAGAATTTAAATGAATTCCTTAGGTTTATATAATTGATACTAATAAAATGTATTCTATTTATAAAATATTTTTAAGAACTAAAATAAGCATTAAATTTTTTTCAAAGTTAATATAAAATAATAATTTTAACTAATGCTAATTTCTAGTTAAGTGTTATGAATTTAAGCTATGACAGTTCTAATTTACCATAACTAAAGATTAAGCATTGTTAAATACAAGTATGCGCATTTTGCTGTCATCGGACTTTTGGTATTTCCATAGAGAATACTTATGCAGACATACATGTAGAAAATTAGCATGTATGTCAATCTCTTCTGGGTCCTTTATTCTTTTTGCATGCAACAATTCTGCATTCACGCAAGCGGGGATATAGAAATACAGCATTGCGTTTTTCTTATTCTGCCGAGGACAACAAATAGGTGTTTTGAATAGTTATTGTTGATGTTTAATGTACCAAAATTCTTTATCAAAGAAATTACATAATCAGATGGTGCATTACTGTTATTTGATTATCGTTATGTGTATCGTATGACGTGCATGTTTCTTTTTTTTTTATTTGCAAGTTCTGCGATACTTTCAGAGCTATATAAAGAAACGCTGGTAATATTACTTAATAAGCCCCTTAAAAAACAGGTTTTCTAATCAACCAACGTTAAAAACGATCAAATAGCATCTAAGCAAGGTCAATTAATTATACAAACTTTCCCGAAAACATTTACGCAAATACTTATTAGAGCACTTTTATCCACGTTTCTTTGCGAATATTATTACTTGTCTTAGTAGTAATTTATATTGTTTGTATATCGCTGAACGCGAGTTATACAATAATTTACAAAGCATGAAATAATATTTATTAAAAATAATTAATTGAATTCATTATTTGTTTTTTCCATTGTATGCAAGCATATAACATATACAAAAAAATGCCTCAAACTAAAATTTCGAAAAAATGAGTTTTTTAATGACTTAATATTGCAAATTGATAAAGCAATCTATAGCTTTTGAACCATAATTTTTTTTTTATTATAATGCCTTTTTTGACTGACGAAATAAGTAAAAATATAGATTAAATTTTAATGATTTCATTTTATTCTTAGTTTATTGAAAAAGAATCTCTACTGGCTGTAAAGCAAGTTTTGGCTTTTAAATGATGATTTTTACTATCAAATAGCAGAATCGTCTTTTTTTAAACATTTACTAAATATTTTTATATTCACAGAATTTCACCAAATCTGTTAATATAACTTTTGATTGGGGATTTTCATTGCGGGGCGGGTCATCACAGATATGAAGTTCCAGGATTCAGAGAATTGCATAGGACTATGCCTTTTTAAATGGTAGGCGTGTGCTTAAATTTTGTTTAAATTCAAAGTTATATTTATTAATTTTGTTTCTCTTTCAATGACTAGATTCGTTATATACCAATATAGAAATAAAAATCAGAATAATTATATGAATGTGAAAGAGGAAGAATACGAATTGTTCTTTAACGCATGAGAAATACAAAATCACTAACGCTAATCTAACTTCATTTATGTAAAATGGTCAGAAACAATTATCAATTAGCGATCAAAATGCATATGTTGTAATCTGATTTTTTGTTTCAGCCTGTTTACTAAAAATAGATATTCCTCAAAACCTTTTATAAATAGTTCGTCCAATTCTTTTTTTATAAACTTTGATATTTGCTATTTTTACATATTGACAAGAATCCCCCAGTTAAATAAAATCACCATGATGTATAATCTCGAGGAAATTTCTCAAAAGTATCTGCAGCGAACCTTCTCAGGTTTCTGCAGCGATAATGTACGTTTGCCTTGACTTTTAATTGGTTACGTTATTCAAAAATCAACAATGTGCGCTATAGTGAAAGCTAGGTTGCTAAGTTCATTTTTACTAAATAATAATTTATATTGTTCTCAGAATTTACTGCCGTGAATTCAGTAAATAAAACTTTGTGTTCAAACTATATACGTACTTTGTGTTCCAACATCTATGTGGTGAGTGAGAATCCTGCAACTCTGTTATATTGATATTGAAAGAATACGAGTTTATTCAAGGTATAAAGGATATAATTACATGCCAAGGTAAAAGGGTATTACGACGACGAAGATAAATGGATAACATGAATACACATTTTATAATAATAGCATTTTATATGCGACCCTGTCACAATACCGACCTTCGCCACCTTACGTTTTATCCTCGATCTTGTGGCCAATAATCCTGTTATATAATCTATTTTGTTTTCATTTTTCAAACATTAAGAAGTTACGAAGATGTCTTTGACATGTTACATTTTTAGTCTATGACACATATTAGGTCTTGAGATATGGCCAAAGATACATTTGAAACTTCCGTGATAAGGATAAGTAAGCATAATGACTTCTTTCATAATTACTTCTAAATTTCACTCAATAATGATATTTGCGATATAAGTTAGAAAGTTGATCTACATATTATCGTTACGTTATGATATTTTTCTGAGTTCTAGGAGTAAACATTATGTGTGTATTTATGTATCTTTGACATTATCGTGAAAAGCAAATTCAATAACAGAAATTTATTTCACATTGAATTTATATATGACAAGGGGTAAGTCGAGAAATTGTCATGTTCGAAATGCAAAGGACAAACTTTTGATGTATGGTGGAGAATAGTTACAGTATTTGATACACAAATTACACATCATTTGTTTCTAAATAATGTAATTATCATGTTAAAAATAGTTGTAACTATATTTAGAATTCCCAGTTTCACAAACTTTCATAGAACCTTTGTTACGTTTATCGTTATGATTGTCAACTTTTTAATCATTTGAGATATGAACATATGAACAATTTTCAATATATGTTGGTTAACCTTAGAAAATAAGCAAGTTAGGCCAAATAAACAAAAATAAACAAGTTGTGTTTCCCTTACCGTTTACAAATACTAAAATAAAAACACATTCCAAACCAAATTCAAAAAATAGAAATGAATAATCATTGAAAAAATGAAAGTGGAGAGTTATTAATAGGGTATATTTTGAAAGTGATAAAGAACAAAAACGCCAAAGTGATGTCTTACAAGTGGAAAACCTTTTTTTCCTTGTGATAACTTTATATTCTAAAAATAGGCATGTTTCTAATTAAAGTCATTTGTTTAATTGTAAATAGTACCATTCATAGTATTATTTTTCTATAAATAATGCATAAAAATTTCGAACTTGTTTTTTTACATGTATATTATTGTATAATTTCTAAAGTACTGTATATATATTATTAATTTGCATTATTTCCATATCTACAAGTGTGTTACGAATTTTTTATTTTGACAACAAACATAAAAAACTCCAAATTCAAAACTTAAGTACACATTACATTCTATATTATTCATGTTCCATTTAGCCAAAAATAAATAAAAACACCCCCCCCAAAGTTAATCACACCTCAATACCATGTTTTCCATTTTATACTTTTAATCAAAAACCACCCAGTCACACACCTCCACTAATCACTAAAACCAATAAAAATTTAAACTGAACTTTAAAAATAATAAAAAAATTATGTCATTTCCAAAATAATTTAAAATACATCTCCACATCTCCAACAATAATTAATTAATTTTTATCTTTTTCTAGAAATAAATCTTTTCTTATCTTTGCGTAACCCCATGTTTGTTTCAAAGGAAATTTTTATTGTTGGCTTGAAAAAAGAAATGATATGACGTATCATACATTACAATACTATTTATTTTACTATACTGTACATTATAGCTTTCCGGCAAATTGAATTCGTTCGTCTATATTTTAATTTACTAAATACCATTTTCGATTATTACTTATTATGTGGTTCTAATTGGCTAGTATGCTCAACTTACCGTTACCACAAAACCGATTCTTAGAAAATCCCTTTTCTGTTCTTTTAATTGAAATCGTAATGTAAATTAAAGTCACGTGATTGTGTATACCATGGATCTACACAATACATTCAATAAATTACATTTATATAGAATTGGGTTAAAGAAAAAAAAAGGGATATGTACATTTTCATGTAACGAACAACAATATAAATTCTTACACAGCCTTGGTCTATATAAATTCCCTTTAATCCTTTACTTGTATTTTTATATAAATCGTTACGACGTTATGAATTAATTGACTTGAAATGAGAAATTTTATTATAATTATCAAAAAAGTTTTTGCATAAACGACTATTTATTTCTGGAATAAAATTTTGCATAATATGCGCAGGGAAGCTATTGCGTCTTTTTCAAAACAAGTATAAAGAAGCAAACGAAAGAAATTCAGTGTTATAATTGTGATGATTTTTCCCGTTACTATTATTATTATTATCATTATCTACTCTTATTGATAAACATACTAATAAACATAAATAAAAAAACTCGACTTACGAAGAAATGAAAACAAACTCACGTAGCAAAGAAACTGGACCAACAATCAATATCACAGTTTCCTTCCCTCCCGATATCTCAGCAATGAACCTCATCGATCGCGCTCTCTCCAAAACACGTATCACGGGGAAAGCATCGAGAGTGCCGAACGCATTTATCGCGTATCGCACCGCATTCTGCAAGGAACTCCAACAAATACAACATCCAGTTATCACCCAACCACAACTTTCTTTAATTGCCAAAGACTACTGGTCCAAAGAACCAGAAAATGTTCGACGAGAATACGAGAGAATCGCTGCCGAGGCGAGAAATTTGTACAAACAAATTTGCGTGGATCAAAAATTAATCCAAAAGAACCAAGATGTTGATAAGTCTTTCGAAAATTCTCATTTGAATGTGGCTGAACAGTATAATGACCTGGCGCATGATCCAAGTTCATGGCAGATTACACCGCAAAATTTGAATTTCTCTCCGGCTGACAGAGAATCCGAGCCTTCTTCTCAAGATGAAACTTCTATTATCAATAATAACCAGCAACCTGACGGAAATTTTGTGCTATATAATTTGACGAACGATCCAAGTTCTTTTTCTGATTCTGATATCCAACTTGACGAAAATCTTATGAGCCCTGATTCTATTTCACAATATAATCTCGAAACAACTGTCTTCAGTTCGACCAACGAAAATTTTGACGCTTCGTTCGACTTTTCATCGTTTTTTCCCGATGAAAATTTCACGGTTTCACCGAGTTCTAATTCGAGTTCCAGTCCCGACTTTTTAGAAAAATCTTCTACGAATGGATGCGAGCACTGTAAAAAAAAGACAGAAATTTTAGAGAGGCGTATAAGAGAATTAGAAGAAAGAATAATTGCATTAACGGACTCAATTTACCATTTTAAAAATTTAATCTAGAAGTATATTGTTTTATAATTGTTATAGACGGAACGGAGAACTACTTTTTTTTATCTCGCAAAAAGAATGTAATTTAAGCATTATAAGAATAAAAATAAGCCACATGTATTTTTTTCTTTATGATACTATAGTTAGTCTTATGATTATTAAAAAAAAAATGGGTGTAAATGAAATGAAACCACTAGAAATATATCGATATTTATGAGCACCTCACCTGTACATTGACAATCATCTGATGCAAGTCAAAATCCAAATAAATTTTACTGCGCAAAAAGGATCATATCTTCACACCTTACACTTGAAGACCTTGAAGAAGAAATCTTTTCGAGAAGACACCTTCGCGTATACATCAAGGAATTCTCAAACGCTTTAAACAGGCCAGAGGTTCGTCACCGATACAAAGTACTTTGCCAGTCACGTGAATATTCCCACACTTTAGTAAGATAATTTACGCCACGTCACTATATCATTGATATCATCAAATCTTGATTTATAATCAAAGAAATAAAAAGCAGTATTAAACCTTTGTTCATGCAACAACAAGGGTTACCATAGTTGGAATAATAGCTTGAGTAAAAAATCATTTTATTCCCGCTCAAATACATAATAACAGCACACACAATTGAAACGTCATTTGTCACCATTTTCAGTTGACTTTCGGACAATTCCTTTGTGATTTTTGAATATCTGCCGATTATTTCATATTAAAATATTATTTGTAACATACACGAGCCGACAAACTTTGACAAGAGCTCCCAAGAGAAAATACTCGTCTATAATAAATTTTAATGGAAAAAGCTTCAAAGATGCTTACCAGTTTACAGAATCCAGCACCGACACAACTGGCGCATTTCGATACATCAAACGGATTCTCAAGTGCTATTGTTAGTCCGGTGAATATGGATACTTCAACAAATCCGCAAGAGAATGTTGGACAGAAGAATCAAGATTTTTCCAGCGTATCCAGTTTAATCAGCCCGCAAGATTCGCCAACATATAATCCAGACAGAAGTTTGAGTTCAGATGGCCCAACAATTGCGCTCCCCTCGAAGAATCAAGAGGAGGCATCTGGAATAGAAAGGCCAAAAATTTCGACTTCGACTACTCCCATGACTTCATCCGGTATAAACAGTCCGGCAAGCACGGAAAGTCAGATGTCTTCACCGGCAAGAATTACAACCACCCAGCACCAAATCGTCGAAGAAGTGTTCAATGAGTATCTTAAACCAATAGTTCCACGCCCATCACAGCACAGAGAATTATTTTATGGGATTTTAAAATCCTTTCTGCTCCTAGAGAATAGGCCGATCGCGGTAAAGGATTTAGTGAAGGTCGTAATAAAAAATAAATTTGCAAAACCAAAGTATGCATTTTTTTTTCTTATAGTTACTATTTATCATAATTTTAGAAGATAAAAATATTTTTTTATTGATTTTCTCTCTTCGATGTGTACAGAGGTTCAACTCCACACCAAACAATTTCAGCGGCATTGTCTATGTACATAAATAACAACGAAGCAAAAACTGAAACAGATGCAATATTATACAAGATGGAACGAAGAAGCAAAGATATAGCTTCGCGCGTTTTCTGGTCGTTAAATCTAAATAATCCTAAAATCCGAGTTGTCTTAAATGTGCTCACAGAAAAACTTCGGGGAACAAGTTTTTCACCCCTGTCAGAAGTATCCTCTCTAGAATCAACAGTCACTTCTCCGGGAGCAGAAACGCCAGAAATGCCGACATTAAATATAAATTCCCCAATAAGTTTACCAAAAGCATCAGAAATGCCAACTTCAATTATAACGTCGTCTCCATCAGCGACTTTATCACAAATACCAGAAATTTCGATTACAACATTAACTTCTTTATCACCACAACCATCACAACCATCTGTTGTAGCCGAAGAACCTATAACTAAACAAAAAGAGCTAGCAAGAAAAAGTAAAAGAAAATACGTGCCCGATTCGGCAGAAAATCAACGAGTTACCAGGAGGAAAACAGAACAAATAAAGATCGACTCAATCTTACAACCGCCTCCAAGTCTCACGGATCAGGAGGAGATAAAAAGACGTAGAGTAAATCAGTTAGTTGAAAAATATTTCGGTGGATTGAGTTTGCATCCGGAAGGAAAATTTTTGATAGCGGGTATAAAGGGGCTTTTGATGTTGGGCAATCAGGAGACAAGCATCAAGAATCTGGCGAATGCAGTTATTAAATATAGGTTTGTAGGGTTATGGTAAATATCATTCAATTAACTTGAATCTTATTTCTTTAATCAAGTTGCTAATTTTGTATCTTATTAAAAATTCAACAGCGGCTTCCCGCAACCACCAGCAATTACATTGTACATAAGTATGTGCGAATGCCTTCAGAGTATGGACGTACAAAAGTCATCTTTCATAAAAAAGATTCGTCGGGATACCAGATCCGGCATCGCCTGGAAATTAGAGGAAACTCATTCAGATGTTCGAAAGATTTTTCAAGAACTCTAACGAAATAAAGCTTTAAGAAGAATAGAGATTTAGATTATAATTGATACTTATCGACACGAAATTTGCTGGAATTATTGAATATGCGGGACTATATTCATAATTTTCGCTTTAAGAGAAAAATATTATTGTTGGAAGAGTTTTTACAAAGCTATCAAAAAAATTGACTGTTATTTATATGTAAAACATCAAAAAAAAAGTAGATTTAAATGAATACAAATTTTATTATTAACAATCAACTCTCCAAAATTATCTGTTCACTATAACGATAAGATTATAAAATAAGAATTTTTAATACTTGGTTTTCTATATTTCAAAGCACATGAAAATTTGTCGGAATTTTCTAATACATGTAATCAGATCTACATGTATTATTTTTTATTTGATTGAATTGCGCCATCTAACGTTAACGTTTACGTTAAAATTTATCGCTTCTTGCCGAGATTAACTGCATGATCAAACGTATACGTTCTACATGTACATGCAATACGTAAATTATCTCATTAGGGTTAGCTTTTGCACTTTTTCTTAAAATCAATAACGATAACTAAATTTTAGAGAAAACTATTGGTTACTGTTTTTGATTTTTTGTGTATCTACACAACGGATGATAAATCCGACGCCCGACGATCAGCACTGCGATCACCGTAGTACATGTACAGTCGCCACAGAAAGTAACGCCCGATTTTTTTAAAAAATAAAATTTCAGATTTATTTTATTTCTGTCT